CGTCGCAGAGCGTGAAGACGCGTTCACTTGTTCACGACTACTGAGAGACCGAACTGCGTCCATAGCCTCCTCTATAACTTTGTGCCCGAGCGGTCGGTCCCTCAGCGCCGTCCCCCGAGCTATTATGGGATGCGAGCGCTCCTGGCGGAGCGCCGAGGCGCAAAACGAGAGAATGGATGGCAGCTATGGAGAAAAAACCGGCTTTGAGTAACTACCGAAAGGGCAAAAATGAAATAAGGAGGGAGGCATTTTACGATAATTCAAGGGGAAGCGCTTTACTGTTTGAAGCGAGATCGGGTTGCCTTAGAACGCGTAGTTATAAAGCAAGATTCAGTAAAGAAGAAGAACAATGCACATGCTGCGGGAAAGATAAGGAAACGGCGGAGCATGTTCTGATTGAATGTGGAGATATCCACCCAGGTGTACTCCTGTATCCGTCAACTGAGCTCGTAATGGTTCTAAATTCTCTAAAGAATTACGCGGAAGTTTTCCTCGCAAGAGCGAGAAAGATGAATCAGCCACTGAAGGCTGCCGTTGACAACGCCGCGCAAATACTACAGAAACGTGACAAACTCAAGTGCTCGACCCCGGGACATCATAAAAAACTTTTGGAGGTTGTGCTCGTGAAGTTTCTCCGCCCACTTTTTCTGAACTTCGCGACGAGTGTGACTGACAAACACGACTTGGCAAAAGATTTTCATGTCAAACCATTGTCTCGAAAAGTGCTCAAGCTTTGAGCGCGAAATCAAATAACAAAGCTCACATTGCATTCTGCATACAGTGCTTGTGTTAAAAATTTGGTGTGTGCGCACTTCTTAACGTATACGCATAATCCAATGCAATGTAGACGGTTTCTAGACCGTCATAAACGCAAGCGTGCATAGGCCGCGTCGTCTGCTGTTATTATGGGATCGGTGCGGCATCTGGCGGCGAGCGCCAAAACTATAAGGGACGGATGGCGCGTATGTATTTAGCGCTAATGCGCGGGCACAAAAAAATATAGGAGGCTATGCTGCGTCGCACTTTTTATCATAGTGTGGCAGCTTCGGAGCACGGCTGCATGGCGCAGCCTGCGTCGCTGGAATGACCGCACACGCAAGCAATGTAACAGCTAAAGTTGCGTCTCCAATGAAAAGTGAACGCTTCGAAATATTTAGTTTCTTCTTTGACTAAGCTTTGTAGCCCAATAGGCACCGCACACTGACCAGAGTGAGCTGCGTTGCTCCCGATGCCCCGTCTCAAAGTCTTGGACATTCGCCGTTAGGGGCACGCAGAAAATAGACGCGTGCGCGCGTCCCCCATCTATCCTGGCCACGATCCGCCGAGACATGCAAGTCTCGAGGCGCACGTGTCGGGTTCTATTTTCACTGACGCTGTCTCAATGTTGCTTTTTTTTTATCCGCTAGGACGTATTCTGGCGCTGCTGTCAGACTAGAAAACTCGACTAAACGGGGCGTTTTTCCCGCGTGACTGCAGCGCCAGAGCGCAATGCCTATAGTGGAGAAAAAAATGATGGGGTCAGTCAAAAGGGAACGCGTTGCCCGCGTCTCCCTACCAGCGTGAGTGGGGGATTTCAGCAGAGATACACGGAGACCCGTGCGTGCGTCTGTTTTCTGGGTGCCCCTAACGGCCAACGTCAGCGAACGTAGGTAGGGCTAGTGCCAGCGACGCAGCTCCTTCAGGTCAGCGGACGGTGCCTATGTACCTGCCCATTTTCGATGGTATGCCTATACTTTAAGGGTTACAGACCAGCGCTCATGCTTGTACACTTGAATATGACTGGGCACGAATATGTGTAACCCTTAGTATTTCGCGCGTCTGCGGCGCTGAAGGAGTAATTATGATGGCTTGCTCCCTACACGAAAATGGCGAGTTCTATCCCAGTCTTGGCAGTCAAATTTGATGGAGGCGGAATGGTGGAGCACCGGGTACTACGCGATGCCAGCGCAGGTTAAAGAACACCAGACAGTCCAAACTTTCGGTGCCCTCCACTACAGTGTCGCTCATAATAATATTGTGGTTTTGAGACGTAAAACTACCAATAAATAATTACTTATATACGCGCGTCACTTATCTTCCATGTTTTCCTTGGAAAGTGTAAATTTTACCCTTGTCACTCATCAATATAGATGGGGGCACGAAAATGTTTCTCGTTTTCGTCAGTGCATTAAAACATAGTTGTCACACGCCTCTTGTTCTTGATTTATTTGCTGCAGATGCAAGAAGTTCTGCTTGTCAGAGCGTCTGTGTATGGAATAGTATCTTTACACTTTTTTTGGGAGTTCATATAATATAAAGGTACGGTTGTAGAAGAAGCACTTCGCTGTTATGCATCACTTTTTGCATTAGCGAGGTCCGTTGAGCAAGAAGCGCAGCGGAACACTTCATTGATGCTCTCACCGAAGACGAATAATTATGCCCCTGCGCTTTGTAATCGGTGGGCCTTTAAATCAATCTCATCGCGCAGGTGACGTGATGTGATCGCTGGAGTAATTCTACTTTTCTGTTACGAAATATTGATGGGTTCGCGGGATTCTTCGCACTACAGTACACTATAGGAGTATGTTTTTTTAAAACGAAATGTGATAAGTATAGCATAGGGAGTAGTGATTATAGTGTGAAAACAGGCGCGGTTAGCCTCACCTAAATGGCCGGCAACTAATCCGTCTGAGCATCTCCTAAATTATAGGGGTGTGTCTCCACATGTCACACCACCGAGTGTATCGCAGGAAAGTCCCGAAAATCCGCTACACATTTCTTCTCATCGCCGTGGGCTTTTTTCAAAAAACAGTAGAGTATCTGTACATGCTCCCTAAAGGTGGCGTATGAATTTACTCAGACAGGGCACTTAAACGCCCTCTTGAAGGGATACACAACCAATATTTATCGAACCCGTTTTCTCAAGTGCAATGGAAAGCTTACCGGTTAGAGTTTGTAATCACGGAATATTAATGCGGAAAGCAACGCGGGACATTTATAATCAGACTTTGTTTATTTTTGGCGATTATGCAGTTTTCAGGAGACATGATTCAAACAGTGGATGTGATCGCAAAAAACGATTATGCGCCAGTGTAACGCCAGCAGTGATGAAACGTGGAGCCCTAAAGTACGAACACATAATGCGGTGTTCGTCAAGCCTGGAGCCTCGCGACCACTGCTTTCAAGCGAGCTAAACTATTTTACAAGAGTTGCAGCACTTTTTCGCGGCTTATTATGAAAATACTTTTGGCCGTGTATGGTATAGCATGGAGAACTTTATTAAAGTTCTGAGGATCAATCCAGGACTGATGCTGGCTGCTCCCACGTGGGGACAAAGAGGCCAAGCCCCTCTGGACAGACCTGAGTTGGTCTGCCAGCGCGTCACTGTGCAGGCAGCATTCGCTGCCACCACTGTTCGCCATGAGAAGCCGCAAAAGCTTTTGCCGAGTAGAGCATGTGTTTGAAATCGAGCAAGCTCCCACACTTACAACAATAAATAGAAACCCCACAGACCAGATTAGTTTTATTCATGACGACCAGGATGGGGTACGTCCGCGTCAGCAGAAGTCTTAATCTAACCGCCTGTGGCCTGTTAAGTCTAGAATGTGGCAAGTGGAATTCCCTGCGCTCTAAGTAATAACGTGCGCTCATATCATTGTCCGTTAACAGGTGGTCCCTAAAGTCGGGAGCGCCAGATTCAGCCGCCTCAGGGATTGCACGGCACGCTGTTCCTCGTGCTTCCCTGTGCGCCACCTCGTTAAGGTTACGTGGGGCTCCCTTGAGTGACCCCATGTGCGCCGCAAACCAAGTAATGGTACACGTAGTGATGTCCTTACCAGGCAGCAGTGTGTCAATCGGTTCGCTAATAACTCCCCCCAAGAAGGATTTACTTGCAGAGCGAGAGTCACTAAATACTAAAACTCTTCCCGAATCAATGAGTGCTAGGGCAATGGCCGCTTGCTCAGCGACCCCCCGAATCTTTCGTATAAACTGAAGCGGCATTTCAAACGCTCTCTTTCCCATCTACCACCACCACCACCGAGTAAGCATCTTTCCCGCTAAGGCATGCTGCATCAACAAACGCAGACTCTTCCTCCTGATCGTTTGCTTCGCGCAACAGAGCCCTAGCTCTCGCCATTCACCTCCCTACATTATGCAAAGGGGGCACACTTCGCGGGAACGGACGAACCGTAACTTAGCCCTCATGTTCACTGTTAACTCGTATAGGCGCGCACCATCACGAGTCGCCACTGATTGTGCTGTGTGAGTGCCCGCGTTTCGGTGAACGGTTTCGTTCCCTACTCACATGGGGTGCGGGACCCACCAACTAGGTTTCACTCTACGTGGGCGTGTACACTTCACAATGAAGAACAGCCCAGCACGATCGACACAGAGGAACAATGGGAAGCACTGCTGTTCCGCTAGGCTTTTGACGATCAGCTTTGGCCTAACTAACCAGTCGTTGTTTATCATCTGCTCCACATCGTTAACGTGATTATAACGAACTTTTCTTTTATGGTTACTTTCGCTTTTCGAAGTGTCTGTCTAGGTGGGAGGTCTTCTTGTAGCGGTAGACAGCGAGGAGCTGCAAGTGCACATCTCTGCACGTGCGCAAAAACGGGTGGCAGAGCGGCAGAAAAAAAAATGGCACGACCTGTATTTCCAGTTCTGCAAGAGATGGCGCTGCCCGTGCAGAGTTGCTCTTTTTCTCGTAGTTTCCACACAGAACACCTGTTTCCACGCGTCGCGGCATTACTTGGCGTTGCATCATCATTTCCTTCTGGTTCTGCATGACTCTGGATTTCGCTCGGCAGCGTTCTGAGGGGAGAGGAAGCGTGCACGTGGCGCCTTTTGATGCTTGTTTATTGGTTGCGTCGGCGTCTGTCGCGTCAGATCGGCGCCTGCCATTCGCACAGCCGTCAGAAATCGGAGGCGCGCACTTTCTTGAGCGCTCGTGTGTGCCACTTGCCCCGCCACTCGAGTGGCCACTCTTGACAAGAGAGTTCTACGATCGCACCGCCATGTCTGACCTTCGACGAGTGCACCGTTTCCGCGACCACGCCGTCGCAGGAGTCAACTGGCGACCGACCCGCTTTGTCAACGAACTGCCCAGTCTGCGTGTGTGTTGCCTCTGCCGCATGATTCCCAAGAGGATATTCGTGCTTCCCTGCGGCCACCTTCTATGCCAGTCATGCGTCACAGCCAGCTCCCAAGGAAGGGGTGGACGGTGTCCCCTGGATCAAGAGCCGTTCGAGGAAGCTAAATGTCACAGCTATGATTTCAATACGAGAACAGTGAAAGCCTTGAAGGTGAGAAAATCGTTCCGGTCGTTTTTCTGGCAAAATTGTATACGAAAGTTCGTATACTTATTGCTTTGCAGTAAACTTGTTTTTACTGTATATCTTAACTTGAGATAATAAATTAAAATCCTCGTGGACCGCGAGGCAAAATGCTTTAGCATTGAGCGCACTGTTGTACTGCTTATATAGCATTCACTCAGATGAAATGGCGCGTACCTAGTTGTTCGTTCGACGCACGTTATTTGGTAGGTCGTGGCCTCTAGAGCATTAGTGTGCCCGAATGAACCTATATATTGTTGTGTTGACTGACTGCTAAAGTTATTTGAAATCGGTAGATAACAAGATTGCGTTGGCGCAAACTGATAACAAAACGACACTCAGGTGCCGCAAAAAATATTCGGTCAAAATCCGCAACAACGCCCAGACCACGGCTTTGCAAAAGCTTTTCGATAAAAACGATATGGGCTATCTACATGCCCGAAAGTGATTCTCTATTTCAGGTTCTATAACAACCTCACGAGTTACATGATTCAATATACGTTTACCCCAAAGCGGCAAACTGCGAATATCAAGGTGCTGTAAACTAAAACTGTTCAATCTGGTTGTGCCGTTTTGAAAGTAAAACTTTGTAAGAGGCTTGAGATTCAGTTCCAATAATAAAAAAAACCCAGGTGGTAAAAATTTCCGGAGCCCTTCATTATGGCGTCTCTCATAATTATATGGTGGTTTTGGGACGTTGAACCCCACATGTCAATCAATCAAGATTTGGTTTCAAGAATAGAACGTGATAGCGAAATCGGGCCTTGTTTGCACCGTCTTCTTGTTCGCTAGCCGGACTTCTGTTCTCGGTGGGCACCTCGACCATGCCGCGAGGAAGGCGACGCCTGTACGCGTGACACTGGCCGGTTTAAACTAGCTAGTCTAGAATGGCCACTGCAAGTAACGTTGCTTAGTAACCATTATCCCATATCTCTTTCAATTCGCGAAGTACCCGCTAAGCATCCGTAAGGCGATACGAGTCCCTATGCGGCTGTATGCTTTGTTCCCGCTTTCTTGAGGGCCTGTTAATATGCGTGCTCTTGAACCACCCACGCGGTTTACGATTTATAGGGTTTCGCGGATTTTGCGATTGTATTCTTCTGTTAAAGAATATTTCTTGTTTCAATGTGACTCCTCACGCTGCGTGACGCTGGTGTGGCGATTTTACCCCGGCACATTTCAAAGCACTTTTGTGGCTCCGTCTTAGAACGCTTGCTCAATGGTGGTGGTGTTGGTGACGGTGATATTTTATTTATTTATTTATTTATTTATTTATTTATTTACAAAATACTGTCAACCCTCCTTGAGGGTTATTACAGGAGTGGAAAGGATACAAACATTATACAAGCAAGGCAATATAGTGGCAATACAAGAAGAGTACATAAGAAACGCGCGATCATGATAATAAGTAATGTATACATCATACAGGCATAGTTGCCTTGAACCAAATGATGAAGAAAATAAAATAAAATGTTAGAGTGTGGATGCTTTCTCCCGAACGCAATTAGGTTAACACCTGGAACTTGGGAGCACAGACATGAGTTTTTCAACGCTTTCTAAAAATTTTTGAAGTGTTGGCTGTGCTACAGTATCTGGATCAAGCGCATTCCATTCTCTTATTACGCGAGGGAAAAATGAAAACCTGAAGGTATTGTTACTGCAGAAATATTCTTTGAAGATGAGGTCGTGTTTTTGGCGCACTTTCCCTTTTTCTTTTATAGTAGTGAAGACGGAGGCATTAGTTTTAAAGTGGCCGTGCAACAGTTGATAAAAGAACTTCAACCGATGTATTTTTGCTCTATCGCGAAGCGTAGGTAGCTCCGCTCGGAGCAGAAGCTCGGAAGGGGAATCCGTTCGCCTATAGCGGTTAAAGATAAATCTTACCGCCTTGCGCTGTACGCTCTCGAGCAAAGCTATGTCAGTATTTGTTGAAGGAAACCACACTATATTCGCGTATTCTAGCATAGGTCTTATAAAGGAAATGTAAGATAAGCGCTTGGTATCTGTGGTAGCGTAGCGTAGGGTCCGTTTTAGAAAAATCAACTTGTTTATTGCCTTTTTCGTCACCTGATGTATATGCGCAGTCCATTTGAGGTCAGATGATATATGAAGTGGTTATTGGCTCAAGGGCCGCTTAGGATAGAAGAGCGGCAAGGCAGCAGTTAAAGTGTTGAAGTATAGTGCAACCTGGCTTTATAATAGACTGAATGGCTGTGCAGAAAGCTTATATCATAAGATTATGTGTTAGGTGATAATTCAGTCAATGAAAACATTGCCATAGGTGAAAAATCCACACTAGTTTGGTACAGCACGTGGAAACTACTGTTTCGAAAGCACAAGAATGCCCCTTTTTGAACCCCTTTGCCTACGCCCGTGGTTAGATTTGCGCTGAAGAAAAAAGAAAGTTGCACCTAACTGTAGAGAAGCTCCCAAAAGCAAAAAAAAAAAGGAAGTCGCATTGAATGTGACACTGGTGATCAGCCGCTGCGGGGTCTTTTATTATGAAAGGTTTTGTAACGAGTACGGCAGAAAGGTGTCATCGGTAGGCCCGAAATTTTACTCGGGTGAATCTTATCTGCTTTTATGTAAATGAACGAGTAAATAACACCCAGTTCAGTAGAAAAAAAAACTTAAGTTCAAAAATAAACTGCAGTTGTGGTGATTCTGAGCAAACATTGAAGGAATATCTGAGCCAGTTTTCTTATGAAATTCCCGCTTAGCGGCACATGTCCTTTTTAATGAGTCCAAAAAAGAAACATTGTCGAAGTGATAGCATTTCATCTAAGTGTAGTGTGATGCAAATATGGTGGAAAATATGCTGTGCAGTGCACCTATAGGTTATGAAGACACAACGCGGATGTGCTAAATATCTTTTCCTCGTTTGATTTTCTTCCTTTTGCAACGAAGGTTCACTGCTGGAATGAAGGCCATGGATGCAAATTTGAGGGAGCCATGGAGATCATGCTGCGACACTATGAAAACGAATGCACATTCCACACCGTGGAGTGTTTCCGATGCGACGAGCAAGTCCTGCACAGCGAACTGCCAGCGCACTACTCAGCCGGATGCAGCGCAGCTGTTTCCCTGGCTTGCCCGAAGAACACCTCATCGGACTCTCAAGCCTTCACCCTCCGAGATGTGACGGGTGCCCTCGCAGAACTGAAGGCACTGCTTAGGGGCGCCAATCAGGAGCTGCTGCTACCTATGATTGAGAGTCGAATGAATGAGCTGACTGAACGGATCAGGAACCTGGAATCCATGTCGGCCGTGATCACTCGTGCTGCTAGGGAAGCTGTAACGTCAGATTTAGTTCAAGTCGCTGCACCGAGTCCCTCGGCCTCGCAGATAAAGGAAACTTCTCGGCAGACTGCGACTGAAGAAGAGGCAGGTGCGTCATCGACGTCCCAGTCCTGCTCGGGAGAAAACTTGAATCCTCCACAGCTGGAGCCCCTTGTGGACTTGCCACGAGAAGTTCTGGAAGCGATGCGAAAAACTTCATCGCAAGATTATCCTCGGCATGCCTTTACTAACGTCAAACCAGATATTAGATTAGAGCTAGTCGGACTGTTGCCGACGGCACTTTCGTGGAGGGAAGTGTTTGGAACCGTGAAATATGTTCTGACGTTGAGAAAATTTTGCAATTTTATTTCGACTGATGTCACAGTACTACACACAAGGGACGCGTATTTTAGACTCTTTGCCCACGGTTCTCGGGAGGGCCTTCGTGCGGAAATTACGTTTCATGGCATGCGTGGAGACTCCCAATGTGTGCCACCCGTTTTCTGCGTCAAGACGTACAGCTCGATCTTGGATAAAACTGTTCCATTGTCTGCGTCTGAAGAACGGTGCGACTGTGAGCAGCATGGAGATTTATGGACGCATCGTCGCCGCAATTACGCTTTAGAAATTTATAACTGGGAACTGAGTCCCATCAGAGACACCGCAATCAAATTGGAAATCGAGCTTTATCGTCCATAAGTAAGTCCGGGTGAACAATCGGGTATTTATATAGCTTCGTATTAGTTAGCGAGTGTTTCTTGTTTATTTCCTTTGTATGTCCAGCGATGTAATAATTCATGTCAAAACACCACGTAACCACAGAATCCAGAGTTTGTCACCATTGTGCGCATAAATATTGCGCCGCTTAATCTATCTTCCATTTCGTGTGCGTGGACTTCGTGTGAGTCAAGTTCCGTTTGAAGTTTTGGTTCTCGAATAAAGCACGTCGTGGATATTTTTCATAAAACGTTTGGTTCTCTTTATGAAACAGTCTTGGCAATACTGTACTTGATCAGGTCTAGACAGTTTTTAAGTATTTATTTTAATACTTGATTGGGCATTTATTCTGTTTAAGGTTACTTGACGTCCCGCTTCGGTTCATAATGACGTGTTCGCGATCGAAGTACTTGTGCTTGCAATTGTGACATTAATGAACAATTACGACGCGCCTATAGTAATAGTGTTGCTAAGAACGCTATCTAGTAGCCCACATTGCACCCTAAGCTCATGCGTGCCCTTATAATTGTCGCTCCAAATATCAGCAAATGGTTTCATTGAACATCGAAAACTCTCATCAATATGCAGTAGCCTAAGGTTACACACAAGCAACGGCATACGAAGCACCTCTTCCAAATGTCTAATTGTGAAAGGCTTATAGAGATGTTATTTCTCTGAATATTTTCTCAATTTAGAGCTTCAAGCGGGAGGTGTATACTTTCATACAGTGAAGAAAGACGTCTGTTTGAATTAACATATTCGCGTAAAAAAAAAAAAAAGAAACGCCAAGCCTGCGTGAAAGGCGCAGAACAGTCACAGCGTAAGCTAGGAAGAGCGGCCTTTCAAAGCTATTTCAAAACACTCATTGGGCAACTACTGCAACTACACTTGCTTGATACCTGCTTGGACACTAATATTTTTTGTGCTAGTAGGCTGGCATACGCTATGCTATGTTGCGTCATTCTTCTGAGAAGCGTGGTATCTGATAAACACTTGCAAAGAATTTCGTGCTACTTGTTCATGCAGTGGCTGATGACGATGAGGAATTATGGCTGAAGTGGGTATGCGCAATGGGGAACAAGAACAAGCTTTTGTAATGGGTTGGAGCATTGTACGGCCCACACGTTACGCTAATCACATTGTGCGACGACTGGTTCTTTCGCCGTTGTAAAACGCTTTATAAGTCGTAATAACGCAATTGCTTTCCCGACATTAGGCCGGCCTGGCATTTGACATTAGGTCACAAGCACTGGTGTAGCTCAGTGGTAGAATACTGGGCTGGCAACCAGCGGACTCGGGCTCGAGGCCCACTGTGTCATTGGTGCTATAGGTCAAACCTGCCTAAGACGAGTTTGACAAGTTATACAATCAGCGGCGTGACTCAGTAGTAAAATACTCGGCTGGCACCCAGCGCAGCTGAATTCGAACCCCACTTTGTCATTGGTGCTAGGTTTTTTTTTTAAATTTTGTACTATGTGGTTACGGACACCGGCGGCAACAGCGGTGGCGACGGAAAATTGCAGCGTAACCCGAGTTGTGATCTGATAACAGCTTTCGCTGTAAAAAATGTCTGCATTCCATGACTAGCACTAACAGCCCCCGCACCAAATCACAAGACACTTACAATAGTTTTTTTTTGCTACACAGCGCTAAGTGCGAGGAAGATATATATCAAGCTAGTTTAGGTCTAACTAAAATGGTTTATTTTGATAAAAGACCCGCACCAACGACCATGTACGAACCATTCTATGGGTTGTAGCAGTGTGAATACGGCATACACTCATTTTGCTGCGGTTCGTGTGTGATTAATTATACAAACGGTGTAACCTTCTATACTCACAGTGGGGTATTTGCTCACTTGGACACCAACTCCCCACGGTGGTCCCCCGAAAATGCCGTCCGCATCCTCCCACGGGGGGAACTCGAGTAAATGCGTCACAGAGTGGTGGGAGTACCGCGTAAATGCTGCGCAATCGAGTATGGTTCGGAAACGCTTATTCTTATTTCGCCTTTATTATTCTTCCTATTTATTGATTGAAGCAGAAGCGTTGCCTTCACCGAGTGGTGAGACGCTGATGTTGGGTTGTGCCCTACTACGGGTTGAAGATGCTGTTGTTTCTAGTGCATCTACTCGATTCAAGAAAAGCGTCGAGTGAAGCGAAGGCCAAATAAAGACGCCCTTGACTGAATTCTGAACGCGCGATACAGTAGCTACATCTATGGAGTGGCCAGTGAACAGTTGTGCAGCGCGAGAAGTCGGTTTTAACTAGCAGACGTGGCCTGCGTCGGCCTTGCGAGGCGACAGAAGGGGAAGGACAGTTGGCACGAGAAGGGAGCATGCGGCACGAGACGCGAGAATGTGCAGTGCGGGTGTGGAAAGCGCCGACCTCCAAGCGTGACGTCGTGCGACTAAGATATGTTCCGCATTTAGAACCCATTTTGACGGCCACTATAACTACCTCCCGCCTTCTGAGTTCGATCTACACACGCTGTCCTCTGGTCGTCTTGCACGTACAGCCCCATGTGTCACTTTCTCCAAAGGTTTAAAAGATGTCGCCGTGAATCTCGCGAACCACGAGTGATTAATCGACAACCTTTGGGGGACCGAGCACTCGAACCCACGACCTCGGTCCGAGCAGCGCAACTCCTTAGCCTGCTTAGTAATGGCCTTGTGTTGCTTGCAAGACCAATACAAGCGCTCAGTACAAACACGCCGATTAAATCTGTTAACATCGAGCGGCGACGGGAAGTGCACCACCATCAGGTAAATAAAACACTTGAACTGCTCACGGAACGGTATTTAAACTTTGGCGCTTATGGCAAACAAGTGCTGTCGCTGTCACATTACAAAGGCTAATTCGGAAAGCCAGCACGCAGTCTCGAAATGCACTGTGGTAATCTCTTTTGTTGTAGCTTCAGTTTACAAACACACTTCCCTTTCAAGTTTTTTTTTTCAAAGTGACAAGACCGTGGAAGTGTCGATAGTGTGGTGAACTAGCCCCGCCGCGGTGGCCCAGTGGCCAGGGTACTCGGCTGCTAACCCGCAGGTCGTGGGATCAAATCCCGGTGGCGGCGGCTGTATTTGCGGTAGAAGCGGAAATGCTGCAGGCCCGTGTGCTCAGGTTTGTGGGCACTTTAAAGAACCTCAGGTGGTCGAAACTTCCGGAGCCCTCCACTACGGCATCTCTCATAATCAAATGATGGTTTTAGGACGTTGAACCTCGCATATCAATCAATCAATCATTCAATTAAGTAATTAATTGATTAATTAATCAGTGCGGTGAACTATACCGTAATTCACTTTTGACGCATTCGCTCCTCGCACTGCTTGCATTGGAAATGGTTGAACTAGACGGGAAGTTTTCAGCTCTTTGTCATTTTGAACTTTCGAAGAAGCTTAGAATGCAGCAGTGGGGCGCGCCCGCTTTCCAGAATAATGAAGGAGGGTCGCCCGTGGCTTGAAAAATGCGACATAAAAGTCCCAAGGAACACGTTTACCGGTCTCACCGTAACCTAGTGTGTGTCTTCACACAAGTGGCGGTGACAATACGTTACAAGTTGTGCCGTTGCAGGTGACACGTTATTGTTTTCTAGGGAACCTAGTGACGTACTCGTTATTTCAGAATCGTGGCGCGTAACGATTGACGTAACCATTTCCGACAGTGGCCTTCTAATCAATACGACGAAGTTCAGCTATTAGAACACGTCATCAACCTGGTATGATGGGCAGTGATATAGAATGTACTCTTCACGGCCGCATGAGTTGGACACCGCGCTGTTGGCCATCGTAGTGCGTTTGTAAATGCCACCCCCAAATGCATGCGAAACAGCAGAATCTGCGTGCAGGTGGCGCTGTTTGCCTGATGCTTGCACCACTGTGTAAGATTATCGTTATTATTCATGGTCATGAATATATAGAGCTTTTCAAGAACGGCCTCCTGCGCCCTGCTATAGTGCTTTCTGGGCTGTGCGAATTGGCGTGACCCCTCCCCCCCCCCCCCCTTCAAATCACACTGCTGAGGCTTTGACTTGAGCCTTTGTGCTCTCGCGTGCTGCCCAACATGGAAAAGGTGCAGCCCTCCTGTAAAAAAAAAATGACCCCGTATTTGCATGTTAATCTGCAAATGTCGTCGAAAGACGATAGTTTTGCGTGTGGAGAGAGTGAACAAAGCATTTATTTGATGTTCCGCTCAAGAAAGTCGCTGAATGGTATTCTGGAGGCGCTGCGTTTGAGTGCGTCGAGCATGCAGCGGAGGCGAACGAGCGCATCAAGCCACGTCACAAGTGAGCGCCATCTGGCATTTTTCTTCAAGAACGAAGCGCACGTCCGTCTCAGAGCTTATAAGGTGTAGAACGCAATGCGACCGGTAGGTGCCACCGCCGTGTCGTCTT